GAGAAAAGGTGATTATTCCTGAGCTCAGAAGACTCACGTGAGGTTGAATTTGAAGTTGAACTGCCAGGTGTTGATCCCAGAAGGATATTCTCCTTTCTCATTTGTGAAAGTCAGGCCCAGCTGGATAATTTTCAGCAGGTCAACATTACACCGAAGGAGCTGGTACTGATAGTCTATGGAGCTGCGGAATTCCCCGATTGGCCTTACTACAACTCCAGGAAACTCCGTGTCCTAGGAGAAACGGGAAAAGCTTATTTCACCACTGGGTCTATTAGGAGTCATTATTATCACTCTATTAGGAGTCTACTCAGTTCCACACTCACAGGTCTCAGCACTGCATTCTCTAAGTTGTTCTATAAAAATCACTCCCCTGTTTCTGTATTCATACAGGTTTTAAACTGCTACAGGTCAGACACTACAAAACCCCACACAATTTGTTAACCATTGCATTCATTCATTTACTACAGGTATCCCTTCTTGCAGTTTTTATTCCACAACAAAAATGATATAAACTCATACAATATGCACTACTGTAGAATCTAAATGCCTCTCTCACAAAGGACTCTCTCATTTTCCCTAAATCTACTAAAAAGGGACTTACAAAAAAATTATTTACTCAGTGTTCTTTCATGTTCTAAATAGAAGTTAAATTCAGCACTCTGAGCATCTTCATTTGATAGTGCAAGTAGTGATAACCTGCCTGGTTTTGAGGAACAGCCAATGCCTACATAAATGAACACTACTGCCAATCAAAACAGACCTTAGCAACAGAGCAACCATCTATGAGATGACAAACATTTTCCTTGGCCAGTGACCATGTGCTATCTTCGCTGAAACCCCAACTTCCACACTATTTTTGCTCTCAGATTAGGTCATGTCACTTCTACTGACCAGAGTGTGTGCAAAACCTTTCCTGAAGAATCCAGTGCTGCATATCTGGCAAAAATCTCTCCCTTGCCCAAGATCTCTGTGTGTCCACTCTTGTCAGCACAGCTGCTAACACAGGTCATAAGAAAACTTTCAGCGAGATCAAAGAGAGGCAAGAAAGCTCATTTCCCACTGACATACGGTAACAAAAAATCATACTCGCTTAGACAACTGTGTACTACTCTGAAATACCACACACTCTGCGGGGGCATGTGGGTTTATGCCATGCTTTTGTTAAAGACTTCTCATATCTTGAAGTTTACTGTTCCTAAGTAACTTCCAGTATCATAACTCACCCAGTTATCTATGTAAATAACCAGCTCCAGCCAAGAGTTTAAGAGCAGGAAGAGATTCCTCCCACCTCGGGGAGATTCTGGTACTTAGAGCCAGAATATTTCTCTCCCCTAAGAATCAACATCTGAGCTCACTGAAAGACCAGCTGGCTAGTCGTCACTTGCAGACCTTTTGTCCTACAGGACCACAGCATCTTCCATAACCAAAGAAAGACATTCAAAGGACAAATATACTGGTGGAGAACTAAAGATTTAAACCCAATTGTACATCTGACCTGTTTCATTTTTCTGTGGCACAAAGAAATAAATTATGAACACCAAAACATTAAGTGAATTCATGTTTTTAAGGTATATATCTCTTTCAATCCATACTCAGCACTATCTGTATTATACCCTGGAAAGCTTCTACTGAACAGCTTTCTACTTCTTCACCACTTCTAGCTCAGTCTGACCAAAATCATTTCTCACTCAAGAATCAACTTACTCTCCTACCCCAAAATCCCTTGACTAAGGCAATTAGATCCAGTATAAACCACTCACCATTGCAATGTAGCTGTAACTCAGAACAATCTCTCGGATTTTCCTCATCTCTTCCTCCAGGTTGTTTGCCCACACTTCACAGATCACCTGGCTGTTCTCTGCAAGCGCCGCCGGCATCTTGCAGGGACCGGAGGAAAGGGACCGATGTTGAAGTCAGATCAAGGGTTGAACTGCAAACTGTGTGATCTTGTCGGTGTGCTGCGTTAAACACATCAACAAATAATGCTTTATATAGAGAAAGAGGTACGTACAAGAACGAATGCTCTGTTGGAGTCGGTCACAACACCTCCATTTTCAGCTTCAAAATAGCCCATTTAACGTTTGCACCAAGGGTTTTTCTTGCTTTTATCGCTTCCCATAATCTTGCTGAACAAGATCAAGAGCATCCGTTCAGGTAACAGGAGCGGACGCACAATTAACAGAGCAGTTACTCATGAACAGGATCATTCCTCCTGCCCTTTTCTCCCGCCGTAAGGTCCGAAACT